TTTAAATTGCACGTAAACGAATATTTCGGAAAAACGTATATCAATGCAGTTAGTGCTATTACTTGAAAAACTATCGTACGAATCTAATCAAAGTTTCACAAAGTTATTTTGTATATTCAATTTCTACAGTTAATGAAGAATTCTGATGAGAAAATAATATTGTTTATAAATAAAGAACGGCAATCTTTTTAAAGCAAAAATTATATCCACGTTTTGATACGTTTATATTCTAAATAAAGAAAATTTTATCAATATTCGTTTAAGAAAAATATTTAGTCGATGTAATGAATAATTTTAATATATCAACCTTAAATAATTTAAAACAATATTTATTCTAAATTACCTAATTAAGTTCTAAAGAGTGTAAATTTTGTTATAGAGATACCTATAAAATTAAATTTTATTAAATTATTATTTAAATAAATTACAATTTACTCTTCCTGACTATTTTTTAAACGGTGAAATATTGGAAGTAAATTTCTTCTCCCAGTTTTCTCGACAAATTCTTAAAAATTGTTTTTCAGTTCGTTGGCTGCACACAAGCTCTTAAAATGTATTAAGCAATTTAGAAGCAATTTTGCACTTCGGTTCGAAAATTTACAAACTCTGCATAAGCTTTCTTACGTGATGATCCCAAACGCTTTATAAATAGAAAATTTAATTTTTGTTGTTTTATGTATATAATCAATTAGAGTTATCGTGCAGTAGATACTTTCGAAAAATTAAAAAAAAAAAAACCCAGATTTTTGTTTAATGCCCTCATTAATATATCTTGGCAATAATGTACATGTTTGTTTAATGTCAAAAATTTTGATAATAACTTTATTGTTCTTCAACATAACATAACAAATGGCCGAATAGTTATATTATATATAAAGCTTATAAAGAATGTGTAACAACGTCAGAAATCGATTTCCTGACAGCTTCAACACCTACAGCCTTCACAAATGCACTTATCAATATATTTACGTATAAGCTGCGGTAGTGAACGGCTTACTATGTCACTTCAAATAATATGCATTGCGCATAAATCGGCGAATAATATGCATCTTTAAAACTGATATCTTTTATGAAACAAAAGGCCTGTCTATTAAGGTGTTGCTTCAAGCGCTTAATTGTCTTATCACATTTTTCCATACAGCTAATTGAAACATTTACTTTGTGCACTTAACACTTCTACGTAGTTATTATTTCACTTCTTTTATTGGGAATATTAATAATGAAGGTGGATATTTTTCTATAGCATTTAGTATTATAATATTTTCTAGGGTTTTTATGATAGTAACACGATTATTTGTATATTCGTATTTAATTCTCTAATTTAACATATGAATAATATTATTAAACAACTTTGTATAAGCTTAATGAACAACAACCAAATATCATGCGTTGATTGCATATGTCTTAGTAGATGAACTAAGCTAATTAATATTGTCCTTTTATATCAAGGCTTCGGAAATCCGATGAATATGCTCGTGAAATACGAAGATTAGATATTAAGAAGATACTAAGTAAAAGTAATACAACGATAATGGTCATGTGCATACGATCAATATATTGCTGAAGTAATTAATAGTTAATTAATTTAAAAAGACGGTGATAATGAATTGGACTCTGTATTGAATAAACCGAATATAAAAAAAGCATAATGTTAAATATCTTTATATATTATTACTATAAAATATCCAATATCTATGCTATTTTTCATATAAAGAGAAATATTAATTAAATTGTAAATTAAAATAAATGTTAAAATAACAGTAAGTCTTCAAACTGTGATTTCAGATAAGATATTAATTATGAAATAAAATATTATCTAATTAATAAAATAAAATGTTAACTTATAAAATTTCAAATTATATTTCGATTTTGATCTTTATTAAAAGAAAATAAAAATTTTGAAAAGCGAAATTAAATTTTCAAATTATTGAAACAATTGCAATAGTTGATAATTATTAGTATATATATATATATATTTGTATGATAATTTACAAAAACTTTTCTAGTTTTAGAAAATTAAATATTAAGATTTATTTAACAGATTAGAATAAAGATTTTTGTTTTAGCATAATAAAAAAAAATGGGCATATTAATTAATAAAAACAATCATCTTAATTATAGTTTGATTTCGTACAAATATATATATTTTAAATAAATATGTATATTGAGAGTAAAAAAATTAATTGAGGTAAAATAAAAATATTTCCATTTAAAAATCATCTATATCAAACGAGAGACGACCGGTTTATGTTTGTTTAGATGCCGAGAATAAATATATTGGAGGAATAAGGAAAGGATATCTTGTCTGAGCCATCAAATTATATATATTATGTATATTATATAAAATTATATATATAACAAATTAGCTCTATGACAAATTTTATAATTCCTCATAATGGAATATTAATTGTAACAGTGCAATTATCTCAAATATTTTATATTATATAATTAAACATTATAATTGTAAAGTATGCGTATGACTCGTCGTGAAAACAGTAAAATAGTTCTGACTGATAAATTTAAAGCAAATATTGTATTGAAAGAAAATTTCATCTCTTCAACTAATTTAAGAAGAATATAATTATAAAATAAAAATATAATATTAACTTACTAACTTGTAGTAATCCTTCATCAAACTTGATCCTATTTAATAAAAATAAACCATATGTATGGGAAGTTTTTTTTTTCATTATTCCTATTTTTATAGTTAATTATTTAAGTATCAGTTTTAGTAAGAATTTTTAAGAAGATATAGCAATTTTAATCTAATAATTTATAACTAAAAATACTAAGTTCAGAACATTGAAAAAATAAATCCACGGGAGTATAAAAAGTAGGAATTTCTGTAATAAAATAATGAGCTTTAGAAATGGGTAGGAAAATTAATATTTTTAAATGTTAAATATTATTAAATGTAAATGTTAAGAAAACGTGTTAATATTATGACAAATCAAAATTAAAATTGAAATAAATGAATGCGAAAATGGTAAAAATCGGAAAGAATCAAATCTATATATGACAAGAAGTTTTATTAACGTAAAAGTCACGTACACTAAAATGGTTTGAAATATGTCGGCTTAAATAAGAAACGAAAGATAAACGTTAAAGATTTCAGTGAGAAAATGAAATCAAAGTGAAAATTTTATATAGACTATGATATATATATATATATATATATATATATATATATATATGAGAATGTAATGTCGAAAGAGCAGAGGAAATATATAAACATTGAATTGGATTAACATCATACATGAATAAATTTTATTTGAAATCAATAAATTAATCATAATTTTTATTTTATAAAATAAACTGTTAAATCAATATTGACATACATAATAATGTTTGATTGTTTGATATCGATAATTTTCTTCATTATAATTTAATAATAATTACCATTATTTTTAAAATCATGTAAAAAACGGAAAGAAATATGAGTTTTGATACTATAAATATTGCGAGTGTATATTAAAAATTTATAATATTGTTTATATAATTGAAAAATAATAAGGTTTATTTATAAAATATTATTAAATTAGTTTCAAATAAAACTATGTAATGTATAGTCAATAAATATGAATATTAATTACTTGACGGATTGAATTGTTAGTGAATCTTTAGACTTAGGGTGCCTTTCAATTTTGATTTTACAAATTATTAATATAAATGAATAATATCTTGTTATTTTTAACAAACATTATTTTATATTTGTTATTAATTATTTTCAATACTATTGTAAAGTATTTTGATGTGTCTATTACCTGGATAAAAATAGGTTTTTTTAGTCAAAAAATTGTTGCTAACCGCACTAATTACATCATGCAATCATCATTCATGCCAATTTCTTTTTATATATCATGTGAGATTGAGAACTTTGTTTGACGCGTTCATCTTAAATATTGATATTAATCAAAATTGACGGGAAAACTCAAGTGGACCATATTGCGGTGACAAATTTTATCTCAAAGTATTTTCATATACTTAACGTGGACACATGTCACAGCCAATATATGATTCATCTATGTATCTGAGTACACGTATATTCTTGCCTTATTTCTATACAAATTTCTACTTATATTTGCGACTGTATGTATTTATGGTAGGCGCGAGTAACTTTTCCAACTTTGAAACAAGGATGATCTGATAATTTATCAATGATAATACAGACACGCAATTGCAGATAATAACACATTTTTTCAAAACATAATTATACATTAGTTTATAATTTCTGTTCAATCGAGTTTAACTAAAAATAAGCAAACTAGGCTATTGATTTATAAAATATCAATTTTTATTTGCAATTAAATTAGGCTTGCCACAGGATGCGTAAAATGTTAAATTTAGACAGATTCGATACCGATGGCCCGTTATAATGCCTCTATTTCACTTAAATTATTCACGCTTAATAACAGAGATTCAGCCAGGTTTAATAGGTTTAAAAGCTTTAAAGTTGTAAGAGTCGAAAAGTCTATTTAAATTACATGAAAAAGTGGGAGGGGGAATCGAGACGCGTCGCGATAATTAAAAATCGTCGAATCAGTAGTATCGATACTACAGGGCAGCTTACATTCGTTACCGCGAAAAGGATTCCCAAGATATTTCCCCTCTCCTACCGCTCGATTTTTTAAAGCTTATTTTTTAAATGTCATTTGTCATTGATTTTTACGTACATTGGCGTTTCACGTGCTTCGGCAATTGATTATGAATTATGTTAAAAGCAAATGTAACGGGCGATTTGAAGTGTAAAAGTTCGTGCTGTCCAATCGTCGTCATTCATTTAGGATGAAAGGATGAATGTGGCGAGGGATGAGGAAGGGAGGCACGTAGCGAAGTAAAAACAAATGAAAATGAAAGGAAACAGCTGGCATGCCGAGGAGGCACCTTATCCCCGTTTCAAAGTCCACCTCGCGCCCATACCTTCCCCATCCCCCCATTGGCTTCAATCTTTCATATGCCAATGCCTGTCTATAGAAATATGTAAGCGCAGCTCGACTCACCCGACGCAGCCAGGGCGATCGCCGCCATGAGTGTCCAGCCACCTCTCATGTTCCCGTCTCTGACTTAAAAAAGCAAGCTGCTCCTCCACCAGCTCCAAAGGAGGTTCACCTCGCGGCAGCCGCCGGCTCCACGGTCCCAGCTCCAGCTCTTTCCCCCTCGTTCCAATCTCCTCGATCTCGGCTCAACGTCTCGCTGTGCAGGCCCAACGCGGGCTCTTTCCCGTAGACGAGGCGCGACGATCCATCGCTGCTTTACCGCTCGCTTCGACAACCAGCATCCCAACGACGCTGGCGACGACGAGGTGGTGGAGAACGAGCCCCTAGTGCTCTCGCCACCGTCGCCACGACTTCCTCCTCCTCCTCCCCCTCTGCCTCCACCTTATCCTCACTTCCTCGGGAGGACGACGACGGGGACGACGACGGGGACGACGACGGGGACGACGACGATGCTCGAGGAGGCGACTGCCATCGAGGAGCAACCGACCGATGTTGCCTCCCGACCGTCATCCCGAGCCGAGCGTCGCCTCCACATTCTCGTCCCTAGGCTCTAGGTACCCTTGGCTGACCGCTCTCGATCCTCCTCCCAATTCTTTATAACGGTCCCTCGCCCCGCCTTATCGCACTCGATTAAAAATTCACTTCACAGCGGGCATGTCGATAGGAACACTCGCGAGCCTGCGATGTTCAGCCTCGGCGATACCCTCCCACCTATCGCATTCCCACATACTCCGGCTTTTTCAGCCTTGAGATAATGATGCTGACGATGCGCTAAGCAGAGACTCGCATGGGAGTGCGGGAGGGCGCGCGCCGATATAAATGAGCGAGAGGCGTATTATAAATCGATCGAGCTTAATGTGTATCGCATCGGCCTCCAATGGCTATGTGAGCCTTCCGATTAAACAGGCTTATTACTTTCCTCGGTCGACCTTGCGACCCCCTCTCACCCGCTCTCACCCGCTCGGCTATTATCCTAGATAGACCCTCGTCCTCCCGCGCTCTCGATCTAGCGACAGTTGGCGCGACCGTTATCCTTGCATCGTTCCAGCTGATCGGAGGGCCAAAGCTTTGCATGCGATTGACGATGACAGCAGAGGCGCCAGTGGTTGTCTGCGCTTCTTCGCACCTGATCGACGTCTGCTGGCTGCTGATTCTATCGCGCGTGGGCTTGTTTTCCGACAACGTCCACGAGAACGAAGATGACAGTGGCGGCGACGCGCATCGCGCTCCCTTTGGAGGGGAGAGAACACGAGAAGCGGGTAAAGATCGTGGACGCGGGAGGAGATGAAGACGAAGAATGAGCTGTAGGAGGAGGAGGAGGAGAAAGAGGAGGAGGAGAAGAAGAAGGAGAAGGAGGTGGTGATGGAGGAGAAGGAGAAAGAGGAGGAGGTGGTGGTGATGGAAGAATGTAAGGAAGCAGCGCAGCCCGCGCTAATAACAGTGCGCGAGGGCTAAAAAAAAGGTTTGGGAGACTGGAGGACGGAGAGGCGAATAGACGGAGAGAGCGAGCCTGCGAGATAAAGGCGAGCTGCCAGTGGCGCGAAAAGGAGCGATCCTCGCAGCGAGCAGCGCTGTACTGAACTACCACCACTGATGCTGTGCTGTAGCAATCTCGCCCGGTCACCCTCTATCGGTTATGGGAGAAAAGGCAAGAGAATGGCTATGGAGAGTGGGAGGTGGCGCGCAAGCGAGAGAGGAAGCTTTCGTAGCACCGTAATGCGCATACAGCAGCCGCAGCTCACACACGCACGCGCAACGGCTCTTTTTATATGTCGTTTTATCTCGCTTCAACGCTCGCTACTTACGGACGTGCCCTCTTTTACTTTCCTGTACGCGCGCTCTCTTACAGCCCCTCGTCCCGACCACGGCTAACCCTCTCGTCAATTCTATCTTGGCTGTATTACGCGTCTCGCTTCCCTACTCATTAATCTATTTCGCTCTCGCTTATTCACGCACGCGCATACCTATACCGATACATACGCACACACGTGCTCCTTCGGCCCTCTCCCCACATCCGACTCGCTTGGTCGCTCACCCCCGCCTCCCTCCCACACACTGCCAATCTCTTTCTATCACTCTCTCTCTCTCTCTCTCTCTCTCTCTCTCTCTCTCTCCCCCCCCTCTCCCACTCTCTCTCCGACTCTCTATCCATCTCTATCTATCTATCTATCTATCTATCTATCCATCTATCTCTCTCACCGCTATATTTCTTTTCATAACAGTTCTAGTCTAGACATGCATACGCACTGACCTGTGTACGAAAACAGTAACATACGAGCTTCTACACACGTGTCCAAAGAAAATCGTCACATTTACGTACTAAATATAATGCACTCATATACGTATACACTACTCTTTGTTCTACATCTTGCTTCTTTAGCATTTTTTTCTTTTCTTCTTCTTTTTTTTTTCTTTTTTTTTTCTCCCGCTGAGAAACGGCATCTTTCTCTGCCTCGCATGCATGCATATGAATATACTTAAAATTTCTCTTGCACTTTGAAATTTCTGAGATGTATTTCTTTCTCCGTTACAAACGCTTCCTCCCTATTTCTTCCCTTCTTCATTTTTCTTATTTTTCCCTCTCTCATCTCATCTCATCTATTTATTTAGCTCTTTCTCTCACTCTTACTCCTATTCCCTTCCATAAAAACTTACTCTACTGCTCCTTGCATTACCCTTCCTAACCTTGCTACCTTACTCCTTTGGAACGCCCTATTGCCTCTTTCATCTCCTTTATAGTTGATAATACTTTTTATTTCTTGTTTTGTTTATCTCACACTACAAGCGTCCTATAACCAAGCACACGAATTTCTGCACATAGGTAATATTTTTGCTCGTTCTTATTATTTATCCTGTACACTTAGAAGCCTATCTCTTTCTATCTATATATATCCTTTACATATATTTTTCTCATAATTATGTTAATTTCTGCCTGTATTATTACGATGAATCGTAAGAAATCATTGGCACGACATTTGGTACTTAGGGCGATAGGCATATATACTTAATTTTTCCCCGAACTTGTTATTTGATATTTTATTGAGTCTATTATGCCTAGTTTCATAACAATTCCTTACACCAATTGTATTTACTCGTGACGATAAAGGCAAACAAAGAAACTTCGGGCTTATACTAAATTGCGATAACGCAACACGAAACACTGTTTCTTTTACTATTTACATCGCTTAACTACTATGTTAGCTACTGTATGATATAGAATATCTTGCATTTCGCTTTTGCTGCATAAACTGTCAACGTAAAAATCCACATATTCAAAGAAAGCTTTGTATATTTACAAGACGCGCGTGTTTTAGGCAGCAGGTAGAGTTCATTGAGCTGCAGACTTGCAAAAATGCTTGCGTGATATCTTGTTGACAGCATGTACAGCGAAGATTTTTCTATTCCTTGCTCGCTGTCTGTCTGTCTGTCTGTCTGTCTGTCTCTCTCTCTCTCTCTCTCTCTCTTTGTCTCTCTCTCTTCGTCTCTCTCTTCGTCTCTCTCTCTCTCTCTCTCTCTCTCTCTCTCTCTCTTCGTCTCTCTCCATAGTTTCATGACAATCCATCTATCTCTATTTTTTCTGGTTTTCTTTTTAACACTTGCTATTCACTCACTTTATTTTAATATCTTCGCAACTCTCTCTCAACTTGTTAAGCCTCTATAAACACACTATATGTATTATAGTGTCACTGATAAATGTGTACACCAAATTTAAAATTCTAAACAGCTTGTATATGTTAGTATAGACTAATGTTGCATGCGATATAAAGCTGGGAGTGAAACTTTTCACTCTTTATCACTAGCTTTCTATCTTTTATTCTCTCGTTTAATATATTTCGCTAAGTACTGACTGCGCTGACTATTATTTATAATACAATTAACACAACATTTTTACTTTAAAAAGTTACATAATGAAAGTGGCCAATGTAACTATTGTAACTAATGTAACGATTCAAACAGTATCATAATAAAATAAAAGATCAATTTATTTCGTATTTATGTAGCTAATAGGTGCTTAAAATTCTTAAAACTTACCCTATCTTTATTTAAGTATATAGATAAAACTACTAATAAGCATCACATAAAGTATTGCATTAGTTTTATAAATTTTATCTGAAATAAACATTTTATGATGAACATCTTACTTAAATAATATCGAAATTCTTTCTATTATTACTAACAATGATTTATTTACAGATAATATTTAAAATAACCTTATCACTCTTGCTATTTAATATTACATAAACATCAATAATATGCAATAAGAAAATTCTTATATAAATTAGGATCTTAAGATTTTAAAAACTTATCTACATAGTTTAATTTTACAAATGAACTAATTATCAAAATAATATAATCGATGCTATTAAGATACTTTCAATTTTTGTAATTTTAAGTTAAAAATTTTTATAGATTTCGTCAACAAATATGTGAGGACGATGAATTAAAATATAAAATTAAAAAAATTTACAAATAGGAACTGCAAATTGAACAAAAATCATTTGTCTCATATAATAATTATCGGTCATATGTCGTAAGTATTTTTTAAAATATATAAATTTCTTTTTCATTTTTCTCCTTTAAATATACATTTATAACAAGTTATAATAATTAATATGGAAACAAATTTTACAACGAAATGTTTTTAAAATACTGATACTCTAATGATAGCCTCGAAAAAAAAAAAAAAATACTATTGTGACGACATTCAATTGTAATAGTTCTGAAACACTGGTTTTGTATACATTAACTTATATTATTCTTTCTCCTCGTTGTTACTTTCTTCTTTTATACGTCCCTCTCTTCGTGATTGACCGCCCGAATCTTATCTTGGCAGAAAATTAAATCGACTCGTTACTATAAATCTCTGCTTTTATCTTTCAAATGCATAACAGTCATCGTGTCCATTCGCTTTCATCTTAGTTAATTTTCGTAAGTTGTATATTATTTTATTCGAACCCTCCAACTTTCATTTGTCCTCTTTGCTGCAGTCCGAATCTCTCTCTCTCTCTCTCTCTCTCTCTCTCTCTCTCTCTGGTTCTCACTTGCTCTCCCTCGCGCGCTTTCTCTCAGCACCATCCTCCCGCACAGATTCAGTATCGTCCATAGGGCAGCGCTGGTACAGGGATGTGTGTACCAACAGACAGTAGCAGCAGTGGAGCACCACCACAAAGAGTAGAGAGAATCGTTACTATGGCGAGATCAATATGATAGGAGTGCGCATGCCTCGATACGTATCCTTGGGTGCACGTACTTTCGAATGCGACTACCGCCACTGCCAGCGACGACGACCGACGCCGCCGTCGCCGTTTGCTCCACCTCGTTCCATTCGCACCATAAAATCGCTAAAATTCGAAACGAGCACGCGCTATTCTCATTGCGTACCCTATTTTCTCT